AGAAGAGGAAATTGTAGCGATGTATAATTGTGAGCGTTTCGCCGAATGCTTGGGCGAAAATATTGGAGAAACTGTAGGAATCCAGCTTCCACTGAACAATAATATTAGCTCTGGAACGCAAGCTGTCTACACGACTGCCCAATACTATCTACGAACTTTGTTTAACAAGAACTCCAACAATAAATTCAATAAAATTTCACATTTTGTTGTAAACGATGTACATCTGCACGCTCCATATACTGACATTTTGCTATATGAATTAAAGCAAGCATTATTTATGGAACAAAATCTGAGAATCATATTGCTATCGCAGGCAGGCGACTCAAAGCAATTTGTGAATTATTTTGGTGAAGGCTCAAATTTTCTTATAAAGACCTCAAATATGTTTAAGCTCAACATTTCATATTTGGAAGACATCCAGCAGAGCGTTGCCACGGAAATTATTGATAAAGGTCCGGAGGTTTACAAAAATCAACGACAAATGTTTAGAAATAAAAATCCGAGGAATATTCAGTTGGATAAATGTCTGCAGGCATACGAGGAAATTGGCACGGATGTGGCCATCCGTCCATTGCTCTACGCAATCAACTATGAACTGGTGCCAGTGGACTATCAGCATTCAGTTACTGGGAAGACAGCTCTCTATATATCTGCCCAACTGGGAATGGTGCATCATCTGCGATTGCTGCTGTTCATGGGTGCCAATCCAAATATCGTGAACGAATGCCATGAAAACGCTATAACTATTGCTGCTGCTAATGGACATAACGAGTGCCTTGATATTCTTAACAATTTCTGTCTCCATGGATACGTTGCGAAGAACGCAAAGCCGCAATTTGTAGATTACGATATGATAGTGGACTTAATATATCTCATATATGCTAAACGCCGCTTTTCACCTGGTAAGATTTATTTTTAAATATTTAATTTATTAAGGTAGAAAGTAATACAAAATATATTGACATTGAAATTATGTTGATTGTTTTTCATACTCTTCCGGATGCAATCTCAACAAGATTAATCCATTTCTTAAACTATCGATAGGCTCTATTCCAATTAGAGTTTAAATAATTCCATGCAATTTTTTATAAAATTTAATCAGCTTTCATTGAGGAATAATATATTATATATTAGTCATGTTTCTATTCTATTCATTGGCAATAGTGGAAAATACATAAGATCTATGGCAACCAACTAAAATTCACCATGACTTAAAAAATCAACTCAACTCTTTTAAAGCTCCACCAATAAGATTTATTAAAAGCACGAGTGGTTCACTTTGAGAACATGTACTATTGGTCCATCTCTATGTGCGTATCGATATTTTCGGCATTGCTATTAGAATATTGTTTTTAACCAAAACGACATTTAAGAGCTGTATTGTTTAATAAAAATGAATACCAATTTGGAAAGCAATAAAGGGAAAGTGATTCCCGCAACCAAGCGGCCAGATGGCACTTGGCGCAAGGCACGACGAGTAAAAGACGGATACGTACCACAGGAAGAAGTGCCACTGTACGAAAGCAAGGGCAAACAATTTATTGCCCAAAGGCAAACGGGCGTCCCGCCAGGCATGTGCCCAATTTTAGCCGCGGAGATGAAAAAGGTGCGCGAGAAGAAGGAGAAGGCTAATGAGAAAAAAGTGGAGAAGCAACAAATAACTAAAGCTGCTGCCAAACAAACAACAAACTCAAAAACGCCCAACACTACGAATAATATTAATAATGAATCTCCCAAGGATTCGGAATTATCTAAATTAACGAAAACTTTGGATAAGAACCTTACAATTGCCGAAGACCCTGAGGTGGATTTAGCGAAACAAATAAAAAAATTGAAAAAGAAAATCAGGGAAATTGAGCAAATAGAGAGTAAAATTCAATCAGGCGATTCCAGCAAACTTGACAAAGATCAACTGGAAAAGGTTAAAAAGAAGCCGCAAATCTTAAATCAACTAAAAGCCCTTGAGGAGAATTCCATTGCCATACAACATACATAGTTCGCATTGTCTGTCTCGTGTCTGTTAAATAGTTTTAATGATTGTAATTTAACAGTAATCTACTATATGCAGCATACATCTGTTTTAAAAATGTGTGTGTTTCCGTTTGAACTGTTCAATTTTTTGATACGATTAGCGACAAGAAGAAAAGTGTTTTATTATTTTAAATTATTTTATAAATAAAAGTGAAACGATGCAGTTGAAATTKCTTTGTGTATTACTTATTTTCATCAATATTATTATTTATATTTTATTTTTACAGGAAACATATTGATCATATTGCCGACTTATTATCATTTAGTTAAACTCAACTATATGCTGTTGAGTAATTTTTTAACAGGAAATTTGCAAGAGTTTTCCATTTTCTTGCTGCACAAGGACATGGACAAAGAGTATTTGCACTCTCTGACAAAATCTCAAACAAAGACATGCAAAATTGTCTTGGCTACAGATATAGTCGAATCAATGCCGATTCCAATAACATTTCAATATCTAATAGATACAGCATGCCAGATGAAGCCAATATATGATGGGATCAGCAATAGCACTGAGGAGCGTTATGAATGGGCAGCAAGAGATAGTCTTTTGAGAAGACAATTGTTACTTGATAACGGCATCGATAAAGGTTGGTAACACAACCAGATTACGAAGATTCCGTTATTTCATAATTATTATATAATTGCAGCTTTTAGTGAAAAATATTGTTTTCGTCTAATGTCAAGAGAAATCTTCGAAACGCTGAACGAGTTTAGCCAACCGCCGATGCAGACAATGCAATTGGACAAAATATGCTTGACTGCCAAGCTATTGTGTCCCACTGTATGTATTAGTGAATATTTGGCATATACTATTGCGCCGCCTCCCCCCTTAAGTGTCCACCAAACTGTGGCGTTCCTGAAGAAGATTGAAGTATTGGAAGAATCGGAGGCTGCGACGCTGCTTGGCTGTCGTTTGATAGATTTACCCGTCTCTTGTCAACTGGGCAGAACTTTAGTCTTTGGCATTTTACTGCAATGTTTGGATCCGATATTGACCATTGTCAGCTCGCTGTGCACAGCAGATCCATTGAGTCTGCCCTTCAGCGATGACATTGACTCCAAGTGGAATAAATTTACAATTTATATACAGAATTGTATCAAAGAAGAGCGTGCTCGTTTGGCAGAGGGTCATTTATCAGATCACATAATCTTTGTACATCTTTTCCAAGAATGGCAAGCAAACTTCCAAAATGAAAATTTGTCCCTGTGCCTAACCGACGAATATGATTTCGTGCGCAATGGCCTTATGGAGCAGGTGAACCTGAAGCGCATCAAAATTATTAACTCCTTGCGAGCTTCCCATTTGATACACAGCAATGGCCAACTCTGTTTTCAAAGCATTAACATGCAATCGAAGAATTGGCCTATGGTTAAAGCTGCTCTGACCGGCGGCATGTATCCCGATATTTGTGCTGTGGATCAGAAGCGTAATACTCTGCATTCTTGTCAGTCAGCAAATGTTTATTTGCATTCGAATTCGATTTTTCGCAAGTTTTTAGAACCATTTAAAACAACTGCCCATTGGCTCGTCTGCACGAAGCAAAAAAATATTATCAGATATGCAACTGCTGTGAGTCCATTGGCTGTGGCTATGTTTTCGGGTAGGTATACCAAATGATCTATATGTTTAATTTAATATTGCTCGATCTTTTCAGGCTCCGAAAACTTGAGTTATAGCCATAGTGCTGAGGTTTTATCGCCAGCTAAAGGGGACGTTAACTTTTTCATAGACGAATGGATCTGGTTGATCGTATCGAAATTTGATTTTGATCTTGTAATGAAAATACGTCAGGAGTTCTTCAAAGCCTATCAATATTTTCTAAGATATTGCTGCGCATTGGACAAATGGCGAAATGCCTCTACAGATCCGTTGAAGGTTTTACTCTTCGAAACGTTAACTAAAATATTGGAAATTGAAGACGATGCTGCTGGATTTCTGCACTGTTCCAGCTTTGGGCTTCGACCGACTTTCAAATTACCCTATCACTATTTGCTGAGGATTAATTCACACTTCACCTGGCAGCAAACAACATGTGATTCCAATAATATGCATCGTATGGAGAAGCATTACTTTTTGTTCTATATAAATGACACACCAGGAAGTTTTTATAGGGAAAGCAATGCATCCTATATTGAAAGTGTCCTTGGCAAGTTTGTAAGGCCAATTGAAACATCTACTAGATACATTTTTGTTGTTTTGTATTCGAAAAATCCGGATGTTGTATTAAGCATTTGTCGAGTTCAGATACAAAATGATATATTTGTGTTAAAGGAATATTTCCGAAATAAAATTGCATCAAGAGAAATTCTGTAAGTATAAGAAAATTTAAATCACATTTGCATAACCCTGAAGCCCATATGTTGTTGTACATTGTAACCCTGCGCAGTGGCTAATGGGTATTTTAGTCGGGCACTGCCGACTAGAGAATTTTACGGTACCCATTCAAACTGAGTATGCCTTTAATCGTATTTATCTCCTTTATAGGCAAGCCTGCGCATCCTTAAATTTAGCCGCTCCCACTTTTGGTGGCTTCCATGCATTGACTATTTTAGAAAAGAAAGTTGGAAATTTAATTATGGATTTATTTGCATTTCGACACCATTGGATACACACACATAACAATTAACATTAATTTTACAATCAGTTAGTACTATTGGCGTTCAGCTAGTTGAAAGCGTTTTAAGTATTGATTCAAGACAAGAATCAAACAGAAAATCACTTTGGATAAATTATGTTACTTAATCATAGTTACGGATAGTACAACTACAATAACTATGTATTACTATTATTATTATAAGATTGAAATTGAAATTATTACATATGTAATCTCATTTAGAAACTTAATTGTGTATAACTTGCAGACATGAATGTATAGGAAAATGCATTATCATTTCATTTGTAATCAGTTGGATTTTTTTTTTGTTTTTCAATACAATACAAAATCATATTCTTTTTATAATACATTTGGTTTATATATATATGTGTATATATATATATATATATTCGAGATTGGAAGTACATGTAAATGGTAATGTAGATTTACAAACTATATAAATTGATATATTTAATGGCACCCACAGGACTTAACGATCATGTTTCTATATTTTTTCAAATTCACATTCTCATCGTTCAGGTGATAGAGTACAGGTAATGCGCCCAATCGTGTCGGCGCACAGCAAGGCTTGGGTACTCGCTTCGGCTCGATCAGATGGACCAGAGTTTGGACGATCGCATGATTCGTGGCGTTCATATGCGCATTAAGTGGAAAATTGCATTCGCCGCTGCAGTAAAAGGCACCGTAGCCATCTGGCGCAATGATCCAATCGTGCCAGCCCAGATCCTTGAAGTCAATATAAAGTGTTTGCATCTGACAGCTGCGTGTATTCTCAACGATATTTTCCGCAAATGGATTCATCGGCTCCGATTTGCTCTTCTTGCGCTGATGCAATGTGCTGCGTTTGGTACGCCTTTGCGCATTGTGCGAGGCTGTGGCCTTGATCAGTTCGGGGCCCCGGAAAAATCCAATCATAAACGGTTGATTCTCATCGTCCACCTTGATCTTGCGATGAATCAAGCCAATGTCATCCAATTTAATTTCACGATCTGGCTTATTCAGAGCGTGTGCTCCGATATAGATCCCATGATTCTCATTCGCATTGGTGCGCCAATCATGCAACGCTTCTGTGACATTCAGCTCCAGCCAGCCAACATAATCGCCCGTTGTGTTCACCGAGGAAAGCGGCTCTAATGTATTCTCTGACGATCCGCTGGATCGGATCATGTAGACGGTAACTGTAAATTGTTTATTAGTCGTCATCCATTTGCCTTCGTTTGAATTCTGATAGATGCGCAGTTCGGACATCATTAGGTAATTATCATTGGGTATATTGCTGACATCGAACCAGAGACGACGTCCATGCTCGTGCCGCATCTCTTCCACATTGTGATTGCGTTTGTTTAAGAATGTCATTATAATATCACTTTCATCAATTGCACGCTTATCGAGATCAGTTATAAAATTCTGCTCATTTTCATTTAGATCTCGCTTGGAGCGACTGTGTTCGTTGCTACTTTGAATTGTGAGTCCTTCTTCAGCGGTAATGCGATTATAAACATCAAGTAAAAACTTTGGAGCCGATTTTCTTAGGGACAGCCCATGGTTGCGATGATGCATGGGACGATCGGCTATTCCCAGGAACTCCAATATTTCATAGGATACATCCAGCTTGTCATCGTCGGTTAGCACACGTTGCATTACCGTCTGATCTTTACCATTATCGACATATATTCCAGATTGTGTCGATTCGGCTTGAGGCGCAATAAAAATAATGAATATTACTGTGAAAAGCGTTGGTAAAACGCCAATTGATGGTGTCATCGTGTTTTGCACAGTAAGTCTTTTGTTTTAAGCTGCCAGCAATGTAGACTGTTTCTTCGATTATTCTATAGTGATCTTTTCTATTAGTATACTTTTAAATGTGTACATTAAAAATACATACACACTAGTATTAGATTCGTTGTATGTATCTTAATCCCATGGATGCATTTTTTTAGTTAGCTATTTGCAAACAAGTTGGCAGGACTGCCACTACGATCGCCAGTGTGTTGCAATTGCGGAACTTGTTAACTAGCTCGTTTTATCTAAAGGTTCGTAAGCCGTGACTTTTTTACAAGTTTTACAGTTTCAAATAAAATAAAATATGAACATATTTAAATAAATTTGCTTAGCAAAACAACTGTCAAATTTATAATTTATATTAATAATAATAAAAAATAAACTAGTTAAATCGGCTGCAAAAAATCAGCAAAATTAAGAGKTAACATGGTATTAATTTCAKATGGTAATATTATTTATTTTTCATATATTGTTTATTAAATTAAAAATACCTGTGTTCATACAAATTTTTTAATTAATAAAAAACGTGGCTTGTTAGGAATTTTCTCTTTTAATTTATTCAAATGAAATTGTTATCGTGTAAAACTTTTGTATTATCGATAATTTTTTAGTATTTTCGGCATCAGCTGATTGCTCATCAGCAAAGTACTCAAATAGTTGGCTGCTCATTCTGGAAGAGAAAGAGTCAGTAACAGTTCGTTGAGTGCATGCGTAATATACGAACGAGTCTTATTTAAGTGAGTAGTTACATAGTGTTTTCTTTTTTGTTAAATATATATATTGGCATATTTACGCACTTTGTTGTTGAAAAGATTCCACAAGTGTCAAACAGAAATGATTTATTTAATCTCAAATACTGTGTTGTATCAAATACATATTTATTATAAATAGATGTTTCGATGATTACTAATATAATTATTGACTAGATACTATGTATAAAAATAATTTATATATGTGTATGTAGTTCATATATATATATATATACAACGTATTTCCGTAGTTTGTTATTAAACCAGTTTTGCGGCATTGCATAGAAATGTGAATTGTGGTATCAGAGATACTTTCGTTTTAGAAAAAATGTTGACAACATTCCCACACATACATACATATGTATGTTTGTACAAACATACATATATAAATGAATAGACCAATAAAAGCGAATTAAATATATCTATTTATTTGTTTGTATGTCGATCAAGAAACGTTCAAGCTCATCTGTTCTAAAATGAACAAAAATTGTTACACACGTGCAAACATATGTATGTATGTGGCTAGATGTATTTGGATATGTATATGATGTCACCATTAAATTGTATATGTATGTATTTGGATATGAGTGTTTTTTATATGAATGAAGAATTAGAAAATAAATATGTTTACGTGTGGTTTAGCAAGGCATCAAAAGGGGTATGTCAATGGTATGCGATTGTATAGTATTCATATTTGAAGAATAACGGGTATTTGTCTCTCTGAAATTTAAAATCAGTTGGATTTTAAAACAAGGCCTGAAATAAAAAAAAGGTATAAAATGATATCAATTCATTGATTTTTTTTTTTTAATTTGATTGAAATAATAACAAATAAAAAATAAAAAATTATTCAAAAGTTTTAATGAGTTCAAAATAATTATTGCATTAAATATTTTTTATTATATATTATTAAAAATAACTAGAATATTTCAGTAGGTAATATCCATATATCGAATTCCTTCACATATTCCATAAATAATTAATTCTATCAATAATAAAAAATACATAAACAAGAAATACCAGTTATCTTTCGATTTCGCCAAGTTTTATAAACAATTGCAAAGATAACAAATGAATGCTAGATTTCAGTAAGCCCAAAATAAATATTTATATTTGCATTTAAAAAATAAAAAAACATGTCATGGGAACTTAATTTGCTCTATAATTTGACTAGTCTAACATTCTGGTCCAAGCCCTTTTATATTCATTATTAAAGATTATTTTCATAGTGTTTCTGTTGCGAATGCTTTGAGAATGACTCTGACTATTAAGTAAGTCTCATTGCGTGACTTCATAGAATAATAATATGTATATATGTATAATTCCTGAGTTAATACTGACAAATAATTACCACTGGGATAATTTAAAACTTGTCCCAAGCTGTTCATTTGCTAAAGAAAATTAAGTAAATATCTAAGAGCAGTAAGAAATGCAACTATAAAAATATATAATAAAACAAATTTTATTCAGAACAGTATTGAGAGTGCTATAGTTAAGAACAGTCAGATATAGCAAACATAGTCAGAACTATACAGTATATTTATAACTGTTGCTTAAGCCATAGTCCACTAAATACTACCCGGAATTTCCTCTATATCACATAGTGAATTTAATTGACGTCAATTATTATTTATAAATAAAAATAATTAAAGAAAAATGGTCATACCTATAGGTATTACATCAAACTTACAATTATTATCATTTATTTTATATACATTCATTCAAAATTCTTTTGAAATAAACTTGTACTTTTACTGTTCAGGTTCTCATTCCAAGATGGATGAACTCAAAGGATTTTTTAAACAGGCCGGGCAGGAGTTTCTCAATGCCGCTGGCCAAGCAGCAATGGGCGCGGCCAAGGAAGTCGTTGGCTCCGTCATAAACGAAATCTTTGTCAAAAAGGAAGCGGAGACAAAGCGAATTCTGCCAAGCATTAAGAACATGCGTGTGGTGAGTGATAAATTAACTGCAATGCATGAGCTACTATAACTATATCTACATATTTTGTGCTCTATATACCTATATACTCTTAGACATTCATATCATTTATACACTTCTAACATTTCTGTCAATTAACCATAAAAAAATCAATAAAATTTAAAATATAGCGTCCATTGAATAGTGCACCTATGCCTATATTTTATGGTAATGTAAGTAAGGCTAATAAATTATCTAAAATACTATCTGTGTGTTTGTTCGTGCTTTTTAATTGCAATTGTATCTAGCCTTAAGTTGTCTAAACACATGTCTATTAATTATTAGTAAAGTTCATTAACATTTTTATTAGCTAAACTTCACTTTTACACAATGTTTCATTTATATATACATATGTACTTATATTGATATTAAGACTGTCAAATAAAATAGTTATAGATTTGGTGGATTTTAAATCACTTTTAAATCGATTAAGCGGTTAGCTTACTTTATGTGTGTTCTATATAATAATAAGATATGAATAACCTATTTATGAAAATTAACAAAGTTTCAAAAGAGCCCGTACAGGAACCTGTAACAGAACTATATAAACAATTAAGAAATTGACAGGTATATTTTTTAACAAGTTTGTGTGTTACGGATGTTGATAAATCTCAGGAGCGTGTCTTCAGTAATTTTTTTTTTTAATATTGGATCTCTCTTTAAAAATATGTTGTTGATGTATTGTTAATATTTGGTATATTGTAAAAATATGTAAAATATAAAACAATATATATGTACCTCTAAATGTATTCTCTATATATATTTTATATATACAAAAAATGTTTAAAAAATAATTTCATTCAATTATCCTCAGACAAAAATTCACCAGAGTCCACTAAAAAAATCCTCCAAAATCAATTATATTAACAATCACATATTTTTCTAGCTGGGAGAAACACAATCGAATCTCGGTCCCTACTCGGAGGTGCAGGATTATGAAACTATATTGAATAGCTGCTTGACGAGCGGATCGCTGTTTGAGGATCCACTGTTTCCGGCTAGCAATGAGTCGCTTATGTTCTCACGTCGTCCCGACCGCTATATAGAATGGCTGCGTCCCCATGTAAGTTCTAACTGTTAAACAATTAAAGAGAACAAATATTAATAATTAATTTACAAATCCAGGAAATCGTTGAAAATCCGCAATTCTTTGTAGAAGGCTATTCTCGATTTGATGTGCAACAGGGCGAACTTGGCGATTGCTGGCTACTGGCTGCCACTGCAAATTTGACATCTGAATCATCCTTGTTCTTCCGTGTAATACCACCAGAACAGAGTTTTCAAGAAAACTATGCTGGAATATTTCATTTTCGCTTCTGGCAATACGGTAATACATATTATTAGATAGATAAATTACTGATATATCTCTTCTAAACCCCTTTAATTATTATTAGACTTGATCACAATATAAAAATTTTTTTTAGTTTAAGTATATAGAGAATCTGAAAATAATAACTTTTTATGTACATATAATCAGGTAAATGGGTTGATGTAATTATTGATGATCGTTTGCCAACGTATCGAGGAGAGTTACTCTATATGCATTCGGCCGAGAAAAATGAATTCTGGAGTGCACTTTTGGAGAAAGCATATGCCAAGTATGTAAATGAATCGAAAAAGCATTATATACTACTAACTTGTGTGAACTTAGACTGCATGGATCGTATGAAGCGCTTAAGGGTGGCACCACATGCGAAGCGATGGAAGATTTCACAGGAGGTGTCAGTGAATGGTTTGACCTCAAAGAGGCACCACCAAATTTGTTTACTATACTCCAAAAAGCAGCTGAACGTAACTCCATGATGGGTTGTTCAATTGAAGCAGATCCCAATGTGCTGGAAGCTGAAACGCCCCAAGGATTGATTAGAGGACATGCTTACTCTATTACTAAGGTGCTGTAGTTATTATTTATTTTTAGCGTACATATTTACTTATTGGTGTGCATATATAAATGTCTGCAGGTTTGCCTCATTGATATTGTGACACCGAATCGACAAGGAAAGATTCCAATGATTCGCATGCGGAATCCTTGGGGAAATGAAGCAGAGTGGAACGGTCCATGGAGCGATAGCTCGCCTGAATGGCGTTATATACCTGAGGAACAGAAGCAGGAAATCGGCCTCAACTTCGATAGAGATGGAGAATTTTGGATGACATTCCAAGATTTCTTAACCCATTTTGATCGTGTTGAGCTTTGCAATTTATCGCCAGAGTCTTTCTCAAAGACATCTGACGATCAGCACAGTGGTAAACGCAAGTGGGAGATGTCAATGTACGAGGGTGAATGGACACCTGGCGTCACAGCAGGTGGCTGCAGAAATTTCTTAGATACATTTTGGCATAATCCTCAATATATCATTACCCTGGTGGATCCCGATGAGCAGGACGAGGACGGCAACTGCACAGTTATTGTTGCGCTAATGCAAAAGA